CTGTGGGTGGAATGACCGGGTCATATGGGACTGCCAAACTTTTCGGGAGTGATTGTACCATTTTACATCCTGATGGGCAATGAATGAGAGTTCCAGCTTCTGTACATCCTCACCAACACTTGATAGGGTCAGTCATTGTAATTTTAGACATTCTAATGGGTGTATTGTGTTATCGCAATGTGATTTTATTTTGCATTTCCCTAGTGACTAATGACATGGAACATCTTTTCATGCATTTACTTACCAATTGTATATCTTTTTTGGTAATAGTGTCTGTTCAAATCTTACGCCTGTTTTTAAAAATTTTTTAAAAATGTTTATTTATTTTTGAGAGAGAGCAGAGGAGGGGCAGAGTGAGAGAGGGAGACACAGAATCCGAAGCAGGCTCCAGGCTCTGAGCTGTCAGCACAGAGCCTAACGCGGAGCTTGAACTCACAAAAACTCACAAACCGCGAGATCATGACCTGAGCCAGAGTTGGACGCTTAACTGACTGAGCCACCCAAGCGCCCCTTATACCTATTTTTTTAATGATGTTGTTTGATTTTCCATTACTGAATTCCAAGATTTTTTTTTAATATAGTATGGATAGAAGTCTTTTCTCCAATATATGTTTCAAATACTTTCTCCTAGTTGTGGCTTGGTTTTTCATTCTCCTCACAGTGTCTCTCAAAGAGTGGAAGGTCTTAATCTTGACAGTGTCTAGTTTATCTGTGTTTTTTTTTTCTTCTGTGAACCTTTCAGCTTAATTCCATTGGCATGAGTATCTACGTGCAGTAAGTTGACACACGTGTTGGCTGGGAAATAAAAGTTTCATTTTAGTTTAGGAAAGGAAGTTTAGTGGTGTCAATGAACAATGTATCAAAGCCCAGGGGCGCAAGTCTCCAAATGGCTACTTTACAGGAGGTGTCAAAAAGAAATGATAAAATTAGAATATCATCACTTCCCCATAACTGCTGAACTAATGGATCTGGGCAATGATCAGCAATGACTGCTAACATTACAGACAAGAGGGACAGCCACGAATTATGTGCTCTTTAGGGAAGGGCACAGCATAACTTAGAAATTAGCCTCCAGTGTGAATCTGTCTGATCAAGCCCCTGGAACTGTCAACAGGGAATACAGGGGACAGAAGAACGTAATAAATGGCACGTGGGTGTGTGATTAGCAAAACCCAGATGTAGGATGACTCTGCAGAATAAACCACTCGGTGTCCTCAACAGACAAGTTTCACAAGAAAGAGAGGGAGAAATGAGTGGATAGAGGAAGGGAGAGGAAGCCTATAGATTAAATAAATCATGAAAGACAAAGCAACTAATTACGAACCTTATTTCAATCATGATTTTTTAAAGTTGAGAGACAATTGAGGAAATTTGTGTCCTGACTCTACATTTTGTGATCTAAGATGTTATCGTTAAAATTTTTCACATGGGATGATGGTATTATGGTAATGTTTATTGAAAGCAATCCTTTTATTATGAATCAAACTATAGAATCTATTAGAGTTCCTTCAAAATAATGAGGGAGGGGGATGGTGAGGAGAGAAGTGAATAGAGGTTTGGATAATACAGGATTGTCCGTAAGATAACGATGGAAGCTGGACAGTGGGCACACGGGGGTTCATTATACCATTTTCTGTATTGTTGTATATATTTGAAGTTGTTCATAATTAAAATTTTGAAAGAAGTATTGAAATAAGAAAAGAAGATGCAGGTTTAGGTAACCAAGTTCCTTACGGAGCAGGTTGTCTCCAAGAAATCTCAGTAGAAAACGAAGCACCAGAAGCAGAAGAACTCCTTTGATAAGATTTTTCAGGGTCATGGTAGCATACTGGCATGGTGAGAAGGCCGTGTGTTGAGTGAGTTATGGCACATACCTCCTGTTACAGCGTTGTTTTGTTTTCTCCACTTACTAACTTAATGGTTTCTTGAGGCAAGGCCTATGTCTTATTTATTTCTAATTTCCCAGCATATAGCACTCTCCCTGGCTTAGCAACAAGTGCTGAATGTGAAGATGAATGGATAAAGAAATGAATGAAGCAATCTCCTACATATAGAGCACATGTTTGTATATTTCACAAAATGAGTATTTTTCTCAAGGACTCAGCATATCTATCTGGGTTCATATTTGGGTAATCAGTAGGTCTAGCTTATTTTTTAAACAGAACTTTCCGGAAAAGAATTCCCAGTTGCAGAGGCTCTAATCGCTTTTGAATTTTTTTTCTTTGAATCGCAATTACTAAACCAGTGAATATAGGAAGTCCACAGTTAGTTAAATGTAGGGCCCTTATGGGAGACTTTGATTATCACTCCTTTGTGATGGTGGGCTTAGAAAGTGAGCACTGATTAGGTCGGATTAGCTCTTGGCCATATTGACTGAAAAATAGATGAGAGGTGGTCCTTTCTAACCCCACCCAGAGTATTAATTTTTTTTTTTTTATTTCAAACAAGTTAGTTATTGGTGTTCTAATACCACACTAGGTGGTACAATACTGCCACCTATGGAACAACAGTAGAATTTGTTACCAAGTTCTTACGCAGGGCTTTTTATATCATGCTTTTTAACATTGTAGAGAACTTGCCATCTAAACGAATCCTTGGATGAATGCTTTGGTACGTTAGTAATTACCTCTCAGAATGATCTTTTATAAAAATCTAATTTGGATTTTCCTAAAAAAAAAAAAAGAGGACAGTGGATGGAAAATGTGAATTTAAATATTTTACTAAAGCTGTTTGTTTTCTTATTGTTAGTATATAGGGACTTAGAATTGGAGATAATGAAATCATAACATTTTAAACCTGGAAGGCACCTAAAACATCACCCAGATTAGCCCAGCACCGAATTCAACATTGGTTCACTATGGGATGAAGCCATCAGTTGAATATAGGAACGCTGGGGTATTGTGGAGACAGAATAGCACGGGGGATTAGGAGACCTCAGGGGTTCTATGTCTAACTAGACCCCTGACCTTAATACTTAGGGTAAGTCACTTGACATCTCTGCCTGGTGACTGTCTCATCTACAACAGTGGCCTTCCAACCTTTTTGATAGTACACTACTATCAGTGAAAATATTTGAGCATAATTCTCCTTATAACTTTTGTTAGGTTTGTTTGTTATTTAAATAAATAAGTTATTTATTTTAAGTTTATTTATTTATTTGAGAGAGGCAGAGACAGTGTGAGCAGGGGAGGGGCAGAGAGAGAAGGAAAGAGAGAATCCCAAGCAGGCTCCATGCTGCCAGCACAGAGCCCAATGTGGGGCTCAAACTCACAAACCATGAGATTACGACCTGAGCCGAAACCAAGAGTAGGACACTCAACCAACTGAGCCACCCAGGCCACCCCTCTTCGTATACATTTTAAAATTTACTTGTAACTTAAATATATGAAATATTGTGATTAACTAGTATCCCAAGACACAGTATCTACCTAGAGCCAGACCAGTATAGCATCGTGGTTCAAGAGCATAGACTCTGAGCTCAGCGATGGGTTTACATCCCAGCTGCCTGGCTCTGTGACCTTTTCTGCCTATTTCCTCAGCATTAAAATAGGTTAATAGCAGTCCCTACCTCACAAGGCTTTTGTGAGGATGAAATATTAGTATGTTAAACATGCATTTAGAATATTGTCTAGAACGTGAAAGCATTCTGAAAGTTTACCATTATCATCACTGTTATCATTAACAGTTCCCCATTTTGAAGGTCTCGCTGATAGTTCCAGACTTTACCTGACTTCTTGTCATAGGAACACCTCTGCTTTCGCCTGGTGTGTGCTGAGGAGGAATATGAGTGCCCGGAGTGGAAGTGCCCGCCGCCATCTTCTTCTGTTGACCTTGTTGCCCATGTTCATCATATTCAACCAGTAGTTTCTTTGCGGGAACCTTTAAGCCGTTTGTCCATTTTATGAGTGTTCTTAAATTAAAAAGTTAAAACCGTATCAAAATGTTGTCATTCACAAACCCATTTAACTAGACACTTTGGAGACCACTGAATTAGAAGCCTGGGGTTTTTAAATACTCATTTCCATGGGTGTGTTAGTAAAGATTTTAAAAAGTTATAGATGGTGCAACTTTTTCAAACCTAAACGTGCTCTTGTAATTGTGAGGGGAACTGGAAAAAAAATTAACTCTCATGAGTGTCTCTAGCAGATTGGGCATAGGGTGAGAATGCTGGTCTCCTCAGGTGTAGCTTGTGTTTGAAGTACCCTTGATTCACAGCACAGAACCTCTGTTTCATGTACAAATGCAAGTTGAAAAGGGAAGGCATATGTATTTCGTCCTTTTTGTAAAGCAAATTCTTTCAAGGTAGGCCCATAATATGGCCTTCTGTATGTATGTCTTGTGTGGCCCAACAGTTGTTTTTAATGGGTGGCTCAATCAGTTAAGTGTCCGACTTCAGCTCAGGTTACGATTTCACAGTTCGTGAGTTCGAGCCCCGCATCAGGCTCTGTGCTGACAGCTCGGAGCCTGGAGCCTACTTCGGATTCTGTGCCTCTCTGTCTGTGTCTCTGCTCTGCCCCTCACCCCCACCCGCTCACAATCTGTCTCTCTCAAAAATAAATAAGAACGTTAAAAGCATAATTATTATGAAAGATTTTTACTTACACTTACATATAAGTATATACTGTATATTGTGTAAGTACGTGCTTATACTCACAGCTTTTTACCTTGAGACATATTTCTATAATTATGAAATGCTTGGCAATAACCTCACTTGGTACATCAAGCCAATTTCTTCAGTGCGTCAGTTTATCTGCTGAAACCAAACACGAACTGGATATTGTTTGACATTTGAGTCTTGTTGGTCTCCAGTATGTTGTGTACATCCGCTTGAAGAGCCCGTATGAAAACAATGTCATTTCTTCCTGTGGGTTTTGTTAAAAAGAATAATGAACTGAGGACATAATAAAACATATATATCGTTACTCTAAATTACACCATTTCCTTGTAGGAAGCTCAGTGGTATTCATTTTGTTAGAACTTTATAAAATACTTTTATTTCTTCTAGGTGGTTGGTTCTAGCTATTGCCATGGTACGTTTTTATATGGAAAAAGGAACACACAAAGGTTTATATAAAAGTATTCAGAAGACGCTTAAATTTTTCCAGACATTTGCCTTGCTTGAGGTAAGTTTCCTATGATGCTGTTTTTCTATTGTTGTAATATTTATTTGAAAAATCGTTTGTTGAGCAAAGCCAGTCTTATTTTGCTGATGACATACCACCTACGGATTTGTAGAAAACCAGTGTTCACAGGGATTTATTTTATGTTGCATGCTATTGACTTGTGGTTTTTTTTTTATTTGCTTACAGATAGTCCACTGTTTAATTGGTGAGTTTCTGATTTAATTTTTATTGTTGGTATAAATTGCCTCCAGGGCAGCAATTGACTTGTTTTTGTTTTTGTTTTTTAATGTTTATTTTTGGGAGAGGGAGAGTGAGAGCCGGGGAGGGGCAGAGAGAGAGGGGGACAGAGGATCCCAAGCCGGCTCTCTGTTATCAGCGCAGGGCCCCTTGTGGGGCTCAAAGTCACAAACTGCAAGATCGTGACCTGGGCCGAATTCAGATGCTTAACCAACTGAGCCACCCAGGCACCCCTGACTTGTTTTTCTCTTTAAGGAATTGTACCTACTTCTGTGATTGTGGCTGGGGTCCAAGTGAGTTCAAGAATCTTTATGGTGTGGCTCATTACTCACAGTATAAAACCGGTAAGTGATGCTAACGTGTTCTCTTCAGGAGTCTGTAGAAAAGCTTTTTATTAATAGGAGTCTAACATATTAACATTGCTGTATTTCAGGAAACAGAACCACTAGACAGAAAAGGGCTGGGTTTGGATTTAAGTGTGATTGTCCATTAACTTAGTGCATTAGTAGAATGACCTTGTAACACAAGCAAAACTAAATATTTATGTCCACAGTCTACTCTCTGATGTTTCTCAGCTTTTAAAATTAATATTCATATTCCGTCAAATAACGAACTGAAAATTCTATTTCCTATTGATGCGTATTGTCTTTGATCCTGTATTGAAGTCATCAGTGTCAACAGTTTATTGTTTCTCATTCACCATGGGGTGGTGTAGCAACAGGCATAAAAAAGCAAATGCAGTTCTGTAGATCTGAGCAAATGGGGAAGGCAAAATGAAAGTTGGAAGGGCTGAGGAACTTAGGGGAAATTAGCATATTATTTACTGAGGCATGACAGGAGACAGACCTAAATCTAATTAATGGCTTAAACCCTTTTAGACAAACAAACACCATGCTCACCATGTCAAGACACTGGGCCTTATAAACCCATGACAGAAACATTTCCCAGATGGACCCTTCTGACCTTCTGACAGCCGCCAGCGTCTCCTGTCTACTTGAGGACAGATCTCTGGCCTCCTTTCCATTCCTGAGATGCCTTTCTTGTCCCTAGTCGGCTTGAAATGATACCGTAACTCCCTTCCCTTGCCTGCTAAACTTACTGGCCCCCGTCCGCATGGGGACAGATCACTGCCCTTCTGCCCTCTCACCACTCTGCACGTTAGCCCTTCCGACCGGTGTCTTTCACACACCTTACTCAGTCCACCTGGGCCCTTGCCAGTGCCCGCCATGCACTTAGCAATGACTGCCTGCCGTATGGAGAGCCAGACCTTTTATCCAGATTGCCATGCAGTTTAAAAGCAGGAGTCCAACATTAACAAAATAAAAGAGAGACTATTCCAGACAGTGAGCGAATGTAAGAGCTGGGCCAGGACTACAAAGAATCTGAAGACCAAGGAGAAAGAAGGACAAGATGGGATGGCCAGCGTTACTGTAGAGAAGTTAAAGAATCTAACAGGTTGCTCGCCCCCAAGAGAAAAAAGACCCATCTGCTCTCTTTTATCCTCCAAAGGATCTCTGCCTGAATATTACTATTTAATTGTCTCCAACAATAGTTTCCCACTGGCACCTTTCCACCACTCTTTAATTAACTTAGCCAACATTTATTGAGTGCCTTGTATGCACTTGACACTGTGCTAATGTCCGGATTTACAAATACGGACGGGGCGGTCCCAGCTGTCATGCATCCTGGCTGTTGGGAAGTGGGGGTGTGGTCATACAGACGTGGAATGATTTGAGAAATACCGACTACACATCTGTTCTGTGCCTGGGACTGTGCTGGGGACCTGGCTGTTCATAATAAAAGTACAGTTCCTGCCTTGTGGAGCCTGTAGCTGGGAGAGATGGTAGACAAGTAGATGTGCAAATACAGCTGACCTTGAACAACATGCGATTTAACTGCATGTGTTCACTCATGCGCAGATTTTTTTTTTTTTTTGACAAATATAGTAAAGTACTGTCAGTGTATTTTCTCTTAAGTTTTTCTTAATAGGGTCTTCTTTTCTCTAGCTCACTTTCTTGTCAGAATACAGTATATAATACATATGATATACAAATGTGTTCATCAACTGTTTGTATGTTATCAGTAAGGCTTCTGGTCACCAGTAAGCTTTTAGTAGCTAAGCTTTGGGGGAGTCAAAAGTTATACACACACAGGCTTCTTGACTACACAGGGGGCGTTGGTGCCCCTAACCCCCACGTTGTGCAGGGGTCAGCTGTAATGGTTTCATTATATTAGTGTTAGTGCTTTGAAACAAGACGAGTGCATTATATTACAATATACTTGGGGACTTAGTCTGACCTATGGAGGGGAAGGAAGGCTTCCCTGAGGAAGGAGTGTATAAATAGCACAGTGAGGGATACGCAAGGGTTAGGCAGACAGACTTTAAAACCAATTGGCAAGTGTTATGATACAGATCTGAGCGAGGAAGGTAGACAAATACCTGCTTGGGGTGAAAGGAAGGGTTTGGGAAAAGTTTTCCAGAGGGCGTGATGTAGCTGGATCTTAAAGGATGACACGGTTTTCTATCGGAGCCAATAAGTGAGTAAGTAGCATTCTCATGGAGGGATGTGTTAAGATGTAACCGTTCAGAACATGTTCTGGAAATAATACAAAATTGGTATCACGAGAGAGAGAGAGAGAGAGAGAGAGAGAGAGAGAGGTAGAGGTAGTAGTGGAGTGTTGAGAGATTGCAGGTTAAGTTGGAGAGACTTCTGAGCTCAGATTGTAAAAAACACCTTGATCACCATGCACAGGGGGTAGGATTGTATCCCTTTCTCCTGTTAAGCAATGGGGAGCCCAAGAAGCCTGTAAGTCACAGACGAGCTACTTCCAAATGTGTTTTTGTTTGTTTTGCTTTTGAGAGAAAACTTCCATCCACGAAGAGAGTAGAGTGGAACGGGTATCTGGGAGGCTGTTACGGGAGTCTGGATGGGAGAAGAGCCCCGAATTACAGTGGTGGAAGCAGGAAACGGGTGGGCGGATGCAGGGGCCTGGGCTGCAGGAGGATGGGTCATCAGGTGACCGCCGGAAAGTTGGAGCGTCAGATCGTTCCCATGCTGGTTTTGAGGGGGTGATGTCGTCCTCGGGTGGTTCGGTCAGCGGCTGGAGTGAGGGCTGAGGAAGAGAAAGCAGTAGAGATTTGACTCTTCCCCCGCCCCGGATGCGGTCGCGTTGTGTATCATAACGGGATTACGTAATGGGGACTGCGTGAAGTTTGCTGTCTTGCCTCGGTCTACCCCTAACGTTCCAATGCGATAAAAGACACATAGTAAATAACTAAAATGAAATCTCTTCACGGAGGAAAATGTTCAAGGTGAAACGACACTGTGGATTTCTCTGTGATTCTGCAGATCCAGAATGAGGAGAGCGTGGTGCTTTTTCTGGTCGCGTGGACTGTGACAGAGATCACTCGCTATTCCTTCTACACATTCAGTCTTCTCGACCACTTGCCATACTTCATTAAATGGGCCAGGTGGCGATGTCTTGCGGTGTAACTGCTCATAGCCCTGTGCATGTGCGTTTTGTGTGCTAACATCAGCGAACCGAAATTTGTGCCTTAGCCCCGTGATGCCAGGATGCTGTTGTTTGGCTGTTAGCCGTATAATAACTTGCATTCTAAAGGCTTAACTTAATGATCAGAGAAAAATCATATTGACGTATATTTGGAGTAAAATCAATGCAGGGCAAATTATATCAGTATCCTTAAATAACCTGAATTGGCCATTTATTTTTCTTTAAAAGCAAAATGTACAGTTTTTTGAATTTTATTAAATAAACACAGTGCCAAAAATATGGCCTTTTGTCTGAATGATTTAAATTATTTTAGTAATCTGGCATCCATAATTTTTAGGATCTTATATATACAATGTCAACTTCTTTTTTTTTTAATGTTTATTTATTTATTTTGAGAGAGAGAGAGAGAGTTCAAGCAGGGGAGGGGTAGGGAGAGGGAGAGAGAGAATCGCAGGCAGGCTCCATGCTGCCAGTGCAGAGCCCGATGCAGGGCTCACACTCCCAAACTGTGAGATTATGACCTCATCCGAAATCAAGAGTTGGATGCTTAACGGACTGAGCCACCCAGGTGCCCCTATAATGTCAGCTTCTTTGGTACGTTTTAAGTAGCAGAGACAGAAATTTTTAAAGGTCATACTTACCTAAACTGTATTATTTGGAATGTGACAAAATTTATATTTCAAGGGTTCTAAATATGTCTATCCTAAAGCAACAACTTTTATGTTTTTTTTTTTAAGTTTGAATTCTTTGAGCACCTGATATTTTACAAAGTTATTATAAAAACAAGACTGCTCTTTGGAGAACAAATCATACCAGCCAGCGTAGATTTGTTTTTTTCCTTCCCTGTGTCATACTTACAGTTGCTACAAGAGTAACACGTGTTGTGTGTGTCCTCCATACCTGAGATGCAGGTTTGAACACAAGAAAAACTCTGTCCTCTCATGACCTAGGAGACAAAAAATGAAACCACTCACAGATATGTGAAATGCCAGATGGTGGGAAGGACAACTGCAGTGAAAGAGATCTATCCCAGATACGTCTGTTCCCCTCTATGTCTGTTCTCCATAGGTAGGGTACAAGAGTTTGGCGATATTTGCATCCTTTACATTTTCTGTTAAACAACAGAAGTAGTATGTTTTCGTTGTAAAAAACTCAAAAGTACAAAGTATATAGAATCAACACGGAAAGTTCCTGCTTATACCTACCTCATGAGCTTGCTTCCTCTGGAGGGAAGATGTTTGCAGTGTACCCATCCAGACTTTTTCATGTTAACGAAAATGTGAACACTCAAATGTGAGTTTCTAAAAACAGAAGTAGAATGACATTGTATTTGCTTTTTATATCTTGGAGTTTTTTTTTTGTTGTTTTTTTTTTTTTAAGTCAA